AATTGACGTATAAGTTTAACAAACGTCTTATTCTTACTTAACAATACTGACTTCATAATATGCAGTGTCGATTTCATATACATAGAAACCATTACTGTAGATATTCTGGTATTCTCCTATATTTGAGACAATTAAATTAAAATTGATCTCAAATTTAATTGTTCAACGACGTCAATATTTATGAGTTTATCGTGCTCATTTTTAATAAAAACTGACAACATTGAAACTGAGCTGAAAAACGGTCCCTCACTCTGATAGCGATCGCATGCCCGAGATTTCATTGGACACACCATAAACAATTCAATTAAATTCAAATTAAACTCAATTCAATTTCGACGCGAATACAAATCTTAACCAAATCAGAAGGGCACCCGACACACTCCAATTGAGTCTAATCGTCTCAGTGCCTCAGTGTCTCAGTTCCTCAATGCGTCTTAATGCTAGAAGCTGCGCCCATTTCGCTTTGTGCGGCCACGAAGAGACGAGGGCGTATACACGTATTTCACGCTTGTTACTCGACTAACATTGACCGTAAAAAATTCTGCGACTGGATTCAGTCTGAAGAGAAAAAGGTCAGCAGATGCACAGAATTGGTGTATAGAAAAAAATTTATTAAAATTTTTTAAACAAAAGAAGATAAACACTCTTTGGCTTACGACGAAGAAAATTGCAGCAAATTTACACAAATTTCAAGGAACGAAAAAAAAGTAGAAAGATGAACAGAAGTTGCATTGCAAATGCAAATATTTTTGCTGTTACAAAATAAAAGAAAATAAAATAGTAAAAAGAATATTTATAAATAAATAAAATCCTAAGCAGACGCAGTAAAATAATATACACATCCACAAATCTTAAGAACTCCGAATTGCAGACAGAAATCGGAAGACGCATGCACGTTTTACATCGGCGAGGCCTTGTAGTTCAGACAACTTCTTCCCAAACAGCTCCAATAAGTTTGCTTTCTATAATTTATAGCTGGGAATTTCGTTCACTCGCAGTGCAAAAATAAACAGAAATGAAGAAAAATTGCAGGGAATTTCATTCAAATTGCGACTGCATAAAATCATAAATTGGATTTATTGCCTCGTCGTCTCGATCCTCCTTATTTGCCAACAATTGTGTTAGTTCGCCTTTGCAAGGCACAATGCAGTCCGTACAGCACGCACTGCCCTGTTTCGTGTTTGATGAAGTCTATACACATCCATACATCCAGTCCAGTTCATCCGTCGTCCATTGTGCGTTTTTATTGAAGTTGACTCGATTTGCTCCGGCGTTTGCAATTGTTTATCTGCAGCAAAAATATCTTCAATGCCCCTCTATGCTGCATTCTCCTCAGATACTGCAAATATTTTCCATATAACTTCGTTTCTTCTATTTTCATTTATTTTTGTGTATTTAAGTTTATTGTGATTTGTAAATACATCCACAAACATTTTGTCAGGTCCTTTGTTGTGACTACTTAACTTACTTAAGTGATGAGATTAAAGGCAGAACTACGAATGCAGCTTAGGTTTACATAAAGCCCATGCCTTGTTCAAGTTGTAGCTTTGTAGAGCTTTATTGTTCTTAAATTTACAAATAGGTATTAAGTAAAAAAATAAACTTCTTGAAAACTACAAAAACGTAAACAAAAGCTGCTCTGCTTTTTTAACAGAAGTACATTAATTTTGTAAGAAAAACTCGAACTTTACTGTTACATTTTCCATGTAAGCCAAGCCCATAAATCAGAAAGAAAAAAATATGTTTTAAGATACAAAATAAATCAAGACAAAATCTTACATCAAACATTAAATAAAGACTTGTTTCTAAATAACAAATCAAAATTATTGTTAAAAATGTATCTGTTATATACTTACTTATTACCATCGTATTTGGGTTGGAAAGACTAACCCAGAATAAAAACAATGGATATATTAATGTCTTCTTAAAAATTCTCTATTGTATTTTA